ATCTCATATATCATAGTATTGACTTACAACTAATTTTGGTTATCAAGTTACTGGTTTATAGGGTTAATTATATGAGTCTGGTTATACACCTCTCGTCGCCTACTCCAATTAGATACTTAACTACATCATTAAGAGGGGATAAGTAAGCTAATTGTCGATAATTTATATTTCATCCTATTTCGTAACCAAGCAAGTTGTTTGTTCGGGCGTCACTCCTGAACCCAAATAACCTCAATCTAATGGGTCGATCGAGCTTTCTATATTCTTTGGTCTATCTAACCACTCCCCTCTCAATTTTAAGATTATACAATAGATTTATCTCATGGTGATCAAACACGAAATACTAAAACGAGAATATAGAAGTAACTTGTGTTGACAACCAAGAATTAATTCAAAAATCAAATAACATTCAACATTCAATTTGTAGCAGAAGCCCTAGAACTATGGCGATTAGCTACTCATAATATTCAAAGACCACAAAAGACAATTGTTCATGCGATTTCCAAAAAATAAAAAGAGTTAGAAGATTAAAACCTATTGCAAACTTGGATTCTTGATGTTGCATACTAATAAAAAAGTTGAATCCTAACAATGAGGTCCTAAGGGTCTATTTATAGTATATAAGAAAATAAAGTCGAATTCAACTTCAATTAGGAGTCCTTTTAAAATCAGCTTTCTTTCCAAACTCCGCAAAAAACTGGGCGCGCCGCGCTGCCAGTTTGCCTTAAATAATCTATAGTCAAAATGGCCTGGCGCGTCGCACCCTTGATACGGTAGGTGCGCCAGTATTTTGTCAAGCAGCGTCTTTTTGCCTTTAACTTTTTTTCCTTCCAACACTCGAACATTTCCCTTAGTAACTTGAAAAGTCCCTAATCATGTATATTAATGTGCAATCATTGCAATCTTGAGCTAAAACAAGCTAGTGAGGTTTGATAATGTCCTAAACTAACGTTAAAGATGAGTAATTTGTCGTAATTGGGCATATATATATGCCCAAAATCACCACCCCACACTTAAACATTTGTTAGTCCTGGAACAACTCTATCTTATCAATATATGCTCTTAACCCTTTGGACTCTTCACCTAACTTCACAATCGACCAAATATATTTAATCATGACTTTGTGACACACTTTATGCACTTTCAACTATTCTTTACAGTCTAACACTCAAACAATTCACAACCTCGATGCCTGACTTCTCTCAAAGGCTAATGTAACATCATACAGACATACCACAAGATTAAGCACCAAAAAGGTTTCGTTAATGCCCTCACCAATATAAGTGTAACCTTTATTTTACCACCAACAATCAATTGATTCATTATAGTTTAAGACCATTTTTTATAACATGCTCTCTCACTTCCAATTGAAGTTCTACAATGTCCTAACATGCCATAAGCTTGCCCTTAGTGTACTTCTAGTTATCACAAAATGTTTAGATGGAATCAAGAGGAATTTCATTCGGTTGTAATGTTAGCTCTTGGTAAGGAAGGATGTATTTTGGTAAACTTTAGTGACTCATTCTCCCTAATGCACATGTGTTGTTTTTCCTTACTAACATTTTCAACTTTTTCTTTCCCTATTACATGTTTTCCACTTTACTTCAGTTTGTGCTTGAGCCCCTTCTTTTTGAACATCTCTTTTTGTACATCCATCTTTATTTTTATATTTTTTTTAAGCATTTGGGGTCTCATTTGTGTACCTTTTCTTTTCTTTTCTTCTCCACAAACTACTACCACCCTATTTATTTCAACCAAAGTTGTCATTTTTCAACTCAACATAGTGCCTTAGAGATTTATTTTGGATCAAACAAATGGTATCAAGAAAAGGTATTTGTCTACATTAAGTGGTTTAGAACAAAGTAATGTTACAAGGCTCAAAGGCTACACTAGGGATGTTTTATTTGGAAGCATACAAAGGACATTCAAACTTGGCTATTCAAAGACATACCTCAATCACATTCAACAATTCACACAAGTTATTCATTAAGCACACATGGGGAAAGTTCTAGAGGTTATTCAATGCAAGACTAACAAATATTCTCACACATAGCATCACTTCACAGATAAGGGCTCAACTTATAGCATGTTCACATATAATGCATTATGGTGTGTCCACACAATTAAGCCCATTTTCTTTATTTTCACTTAGAGTCAACACAAAGAGATTATGCTTGTTTTCATGGTTAATATCTCACTGATGCACACGAAGTTCCGTCACCCATGACGTCTACCCAACCATTCATACAAGGTTTCAAAGTGCCAAAGATATGGGTTTCATACTTTTACTCTTAATGACTAATTTACCCTTAAGATGATCGTCATCCATCTATCATTGGGAAACGTCATTTCTAGACGACTCTAAGACTCGATAAAGTAATAAACTAGACTTGAATGGTTCAAAGGGGATGTCCTCGGGAAAAGAACTTATAACAAAATGTAAGGAACCCTACTAAAAATCAAAAAGACTCGATAAAGCAATAAACTATATACAATGAAGTTCAACTTCCACCCCACACTTAAACAATACACTGTCCCCAGTGTTCAAAAGTAAAATGAAGGGCAAATGTAAAAGAGAACTATCCGTTGGCCTCTAGGATGCGTTCGAAGCATCATCTCCGGTATCAATGGCCTCGAACTTATCTTCCGCCAAGCCATCATCCTCATCAGTGTCATCATCATTGATGGGTTCTTGGAACGCCGGACCCATTCTGCACATGTGCATCACACTATCTGTCAACGGGTCAACTAGTGTGTCCATCTCCTCCTTAGTCACAGGGCGACCACCTATGCACAACTGCAACTCCTCTATGCCAAACATGCGCCCCATACAACTACCATCACGAGTTTGCCTATCGATAACAGTCAAAATAGTCCCGTGGGAGGGATCATGCGCTTTGGTGCGCATGGAATCAACTGGGTGGAAATACCAGATGGGGGGTATGGGAAGGGCAGACATCATGAACTTCCTCCTAAATAATAATGCTCTTAGATACCTAGTGATGATGCTGCAATAACAGAAACACCATCGCTTGTTTGTCCTAAATTTTAGCATATTCTTCCTTAAAAAAGCCCCCACATAGCCCTTCATTAACCGATATATGAGCACCACTGCGTCCCATGTAATATCGGTCATGTGTTTCCCCATAAGTAAAGTATTACATATAATCTTCAACCAAATCCTAGACTCTAAGTTATGGTGTCCATAGTGAAGTGTCAAGTGACGACCCGTGTCCCACTCTATCTCACATAGCAATATAAGTCAACCCACACAATGTATGACGTATATCACGATACAGGGGTTGTTCAACCATGGCTACAAACTCACCACGGTCACAATTTGGGGCATCCAAAAAGTCATTTAGAGCTTCAATAGAAAAATGCATCCACTATTTCTAACATACCCACTGTTTATCTCAACCCGACGAGTATTCCAATTAGCATAAAATTCACATACCAAACTCAAATTACACTCACCTTGATTTACAAAAGAAAATTAAAGTCCCAACGCAGTGATTTTGGCTTGAATGTTAGGAAATTCACGGCATAATTTATCTTCCTCCACGTACTCATCGCCGAGGTACTTGGATTTTTTTGGTCCTTGTACCAATATGTGACATAATGCATAACCATTTGCTACAAAACTTGAGGGGTGGAAAATTAGGGTCTTCCCGACTTGAACTTCAGGCAACCACCCCTTTCCTAGTCCTTTTTATTCCCAAACCACTAGCTACCTTTTTACCTTTTGAAGCCATCACAAAACCCAAGAAAAGGAAGAACTAGGAAAAGCAAAGAAAGAGGAAAATTTGGAAAAAATGGAGGGGTTTCCGATTGGGTTTCTTGTTTGGTTTGTGAGATTTGGTGGATTGGGGTGGTTGTGGTGGTAGATTGTAGAAAAAAAGAAAAAAAATTAGAAAGTTTTGGCAACAAAAATGGAGTAATTTCATTTGTTTGGGAGAGAAGATGGGGGAAAGAAATAAAAAAGGAGAAGAAAGATGTTTGAGGAAAATTAAGTGAATAAGGGGTGGTGGTGGTGGAACGGTTATAGAGGGGTAATTTTGGGAATTGGGGAATTTTAATAGGTAGGTGGGACGGTGGGAAGGTTGGGATATTTTGTGGGGCCCACGGATAAAAATTAACTTTTAAGAATTTTCTTTTTTGTACATCGGAGGCAGCACGCTAGATTTGCTCCTGGAAAGTATTCACGTGGAACTCCAGTCGTGTCTCCAAACAGGACCCAGTCGAAAAGGGCCTGGTGCGGCACACTAGCAGTGCGCCTGAGTCTATGGCACGACACGCTGATAGTGCAAAACAAACAAGCCTCACTCAAAAGGAGCCTGGTGTGGCGCGCATGCAATGCACTACAAACGTGCCTCGGTTAAAAGGGGCCTGGCGTAGTGTACCTGTCGTTCGCTACAAACAGGCCTCAGTTAAAAGAGTTCTGAAGCGACGCGCCTGCCATTGGCGTTCTGCTTTCTTTGTGATGCGTTCGGGGCGTGCTACGTTGCTAATGTGCTAAAAATCATCTCTGAACTAATCCCTTATCATGACATGTTAGATTTTTTGCCCACACTGTATTCCTCAACATAATTCCTCTAATTTTGGGTACCTCCTTCTCCTTTTTCCTACACATCAATCGAACAACGTGACATAACAATGGTGGGTTGCCTCCCACCTAGTGTCTTAGTTTTGGTCGTGACACGACTCATATTTTTGAATTATTTTTCTTAATTATATCTAAGGACCATTTTAACTAACAAATAAGAAAATTTAAAAAGTCTATGCGTAAGAAACTAAGCTAAATTTACCAAATTAAGCCTAACTACTACCTATTACATCGACTTCATGGGTTGCCTCCCAAATAGCGCTTGGTTTAACATCACAACACAACACAACTTAGATAATTCATCATTTATCTCAAGAGCCTCCCAATCATGATCTGAATCAACACCAAAGAAGTGTTTCACTCTTTGACCATTCATCAAGAACGTACGTGCAATCTATCCTTTTAGTTCCACAGCCCCGTCTGGTGTCATTCTTACCACTTCAAAAGGTCCACTCCATTTCGTCCTTAGTTTTAATGGGAATGACCTAATTCTAGAGTTAAAGAGTAGTACCTTCTCTCCCAGATTGAAGGTACGAGTTACTATGTGCTTGTTATGCCACCTCTTCGTCTTCTCTTTATACAGCTTGAAATTCTCATACGCGTGACGTTTAAACTCCTCAAGTTCATGCATATTATCCACTCTCTTTCTATCGGCTAGCTCAGGGTCCAAGTTCAACTTCTTAATCGCCCAATAAGCTTTGTTTTCTAATTCTGCCGGAACATGACATGTTTTCCCAAATATGATGTAATAGGGAGAAGTCGCTATGGGTCTCTTATAAGCAGTCCTATACGCACAAAATGCGTCGTCTAATTTCTTAGACCAATCTTTCCTTTGCGCATTCACCATCATCTGCAAGATTTGCTTTACTTCTCTATTAGATACCTCCACTGGACCAGTTTGCGGATGGTACGAAGTAGCAACCTTATGAAGAATTCCATACTTAGCATGCCACGCCCGATGTTGCCGACCGTGTGCGCAGTCCAAGGGCGGTGATGTCATTCCATGACGAACGTCATCCAACCGTGCATGAAGTCCAAGGGCGGTGATGTTAAGCCACGTCCGACGTCGTTCGACCGTGTGTGCTTTCCAAAGACGGTGATGGCATGACACGCCTGACGTCGTTCGACCGTGTTTGCCGTCCAAGGGCTATGATGGCATCCCACGCCCGACGTTGTTCGACCGTGTGTGCTTCCCAAAGGTGATGATGTCATCCCCCATCCGACGTCGTTCAACTCTATGTGTTGTTCAAAGGCGGTGATGCCATGCCACACCCGACGTAGTCCGACCGTGTGTGCTGTCCCATGGCGGTGATGTCATCCCACGCCCGACGTTGCCGACTGTGTGTGCTGTCCAAGGGCGGTGATGTCATGCCACACCCGACATTACAGACCGTGTGTGCTGTCCAAGGGGGGTGATGTCATGCCAAGCCCGACGTCACCGACCGTTTGTGCTATCCAAGGGCGGTAATGTCATGCCACGCCCGACGTCGTCCAACCATGCGTGCTGTCCAAAGGCGGTGATGGCATGTCACGCCCTACGTCGTTCGACCATTTGTGCTGTCCAAAGGCAGTGATGTCATGCCACGCCCAACGTCGTTCGACCGTGTGTGCTGCCCAAGGCGATGATGGCATGCCACGCCCGACGTCGTTTGACCGTGTGTGTTG